AATTCATAGCCTATCCTAGTCGATAAATCCCTCCTCTGCAATCAGCGTGTCACTTTGCCATCGAACTCTTGTGATTTAATGCAAGCTCGACAAGCGCCGACGGGCTCTCGCTGCGAAATGAGCCGTGAGAAAAATAGATGAAATACTACATTTTCTTACAAATCGAACGAACGACAAATCGAAATGTTACAGTAATATAAATGGTGAAATATTTCTCTAATGCTATATCATTAATAATGCTGACTATAAAATAATTTTCTATAAATTAATTTTCTTTTGATATATAAAAGTACAGACTTTTATGACAAAAGTTGAAAATAACAATTAACAATTATTTTACAACAACTATTTTTGTTAAAAACATAACATTTGTGTATATGCGTTGTGATTTGTGTTGTGGTTTGTGATAATTTATGTTAAAATATCTTCTTTTATCTATAATCTTTTTTTAACACATTTTTTTACACATTAGAATTTGCTTTAGAAATTTTAATTAGAATAATATAAAGAATAAATTAAATATATAAATAAATTAAATAGAATAATATAAAGAATTTCGAAATGTGTACATCATTATAATTACATCTCTAAAGAAATAAATAAAGCAAATTTGAGATTTGAGAAGTATACATTTTTGTCTATTTTTGATCGTATTATTATTATTATTTTTCTTTTCTCGTTTTCACGTAATCGACATTTATTATAATTACAAATACGAAGTGTTGTTCGCTTCAAAGAAAGATTCGTATTATATAATTAAACAATTTATCTAGTGCATTGTCAGCTTGGAAAAGGTTGCTAGTCTCTGATAGGAACGAGGAAGTCTTAGTTCGCTAATGTAGCTTGTTTCAGATCAAGTAACTCTGAAAACCTACAATTTACTCGCCAAGAGTCATGTCGTTTCGACACGAGCGTGTCGAGAATCTTCAAGGCATTCGCGGTTCAACGCCTACCGCGAAATTTCTTGCCCAACGAAACGTTCGATAAAACGAGCTACATAGACGAAATTTGTACGAATGACTCGAACGGTGTTATTAGACTAATTAGCCGATGACTCGTTAAAAAACATTAAAAAACCCATCTTGCCAGCGAATAGTGCATAAAATGTATATAAAGAAGTCTTTATGAAAATAAAATAATAAATAATAATAATGGTGTGCACTTGCATTAATTATAATAATGACGCTTGTTTTACGACTATTACCTTGTTGTTGCGTATGTTATAATATATTATGTAACAAATACATATTAATTACAAATTTGCAGACATTAATTACAAATTAACAGCATATTTGCAGCATATTTTGTAGGAAATGTTATAGCTAATAAAAATATTAGGAAGAGAAAAAATTTATTAATTTAATCTAATAAAAATCATTTATATTATTTATTAAATAGATAAAATTTTCCTTAAAATTTGTATTAGCATTCTAATGTAATTTATAGAATTTTACAAGTTACGAAAAATAATATGTGAAAATAAGAAATTTTTGATTATAATATGAAATATTTGAACAATAGTAAGATAAAAACGAAACCATCTATCAATGTATTTAGATTTCTTTTGTCACAGTTAAGATAAGTAATTCTTGCAAAATTTTTGTAATTTGTTTTCTGAGATGACGTTATATTGGCATTAGCTAGACTAGGGACAGGCCTGCTGTAATCGACTCTAATGGTGACTGTAAACCCATGGTAATCGATAGACTGCTACGGCTTTGGCTTCCGAGCCATTACACGCAAGCGATTTGCAATTAGATTCGGCGCGGGATGGAAATACGCAATAACGACCGGGATGCGTTCACATTGTGGGTTTTCTGATTTTCGGATCATGCGATGAAATAATATTCATAATATTCGATTTGCACGCACTATTCAAACTTGTTTTTTTATACAATAATTGGAAATAATTTAAATTAAAACGAAATTATGTAGAGTGAGTTTTGTACCAATCATTGCTGCGTATATTCAGCCGGTAAACTTTTTGTTTATGGATTCAGCTAGAATAAATTTTTTAATCATTAATTCTGTAGAGTCAATTTTATTAATTTTATACTTTCTCTAAAAACGACTTTGACATACTAACTTTGACATACTAACATACACACATTTTATACGCTAATTATGAAAGTAAATTAATGTAATTTTATGTGTTTTATGTTTAATTTTTAAATTACATAATTGTAGATATAAATTATAAAAATATTTTTGTGAGATTTTATTATATCATATGATACACCTTCATTTACTGCACTCAATCTGTTTTAATATATTATTTAATATATGATTTATAATATATTTGGTTTGTATATTTAGCAAGTTAATAAATAATATATATAAAGTTATAGTTATATTAATATATATCTATTTCTTTTATAAATACAAATTGGATAAATAGATTAATAGAGTTTTCAATCATGTACAATATATTTTGAGTAATTACGAATTAATTCTTTATAAAACGTGTGTGTGTGTGTGTGTGTGTGTGTGTGTGTGTGTGTGTGTGTGTGTGTGTGTGTGTGTGTGTGTTTTCATACGTCTTATATAATTGATTTGGATACATTAAGACAATTAGATGTAAATAATTATATACCGACCTGCTTAATTTTTTATTAGAAAATGCTTTTCTCAGATAAAAAATTGTCTTACTCACTGTAATAATTTTGTATTTTGATAAAAGTACACGTCCATTAGAACTACACGTGATAAAATTTCGTACATCGATGTCGCTGATATAATCCTGTTATGAATGGCTTAGTCGTTTTAATTGATAAACCCGATAACCGTTAAGAGCCAATAACCGGATCGTAATATATTACGAAGGATTAATAATACTGAAATCGGCTTAAATATTCAGTTTTCCCTATCGAACGTGTAAAAAATTTCTGACCAAAAACAACGATCAGGTGAGAGACATTTTACTTCGATTAACCCGACAGTATCGCGTTCGCGGTGAAGCTACTGCAATGTATCCCACATTGCGTTTACGCGAACGTACGATGTTATTTAATGGGGAGTGGTGCAGCATAGATCAAGGGATAATTACATGGAATCAAATAATCGAAACAGAACCGTGATGATACGTTATCATGCCGGCCTAATGCCGTTAACGACATTAATTTGGCTCGCGCTTGCGTAGAAACGTTTTTAAGCCTATTTACTACGCACCTTTATTCTTGCGTCACGGGTAGTATGCTAATGACGTGCTAATGGAATTGTTCGTGCAACAGATTAGCGGCGTTTGCAGTAACAAAGGTACTTTCGCCGTGGTCTTTTTAAACAAGCCACCGCGCCGTGCCGCACCACGCTGCGCCACGCCATGCCGCGCCGGAAGTGTTCACGAAAGTGATCACGGAAAACTTCCGATTAAACTCGCAATCACAGAATTGTTGGCGGTCGTAGAACGATCTCGCGGAACAGCAAAACGTACGAATCAAAAATAAAATAAACTTTTTCTCCTCTTTATTTCGACGACTGTAATGTTCACCAACTTTTCTCACTCGTTTGTTAGCTATTTAGAGAATTTATTTGGAGGATTTTTAAAATTCTTGAAAGCGTTACATAGTTACCTATGCACTTACCTTGCTCTCAATTTATTATCTCGAATATGTAAAGATTTTTAAGCATAAGATATTTTTAAATAGGTAATTATGTAATTATGAAAAGAACACGATAATCATAGATTTACATATTTTGCACAGTAAAATTGATCGGTCCACTTGAAAAAGAGAAAGATTTTTTGATTTTATATTAAGTAAAATATTCTATCAGAGAATATACATGTCACTTTTAGAACACGCGCGCGCGCGTGTGTGTGTATGTGCGTGTCTCAAAATATTTGTACTAGAGAATAACAATTATCATTTATAATCATTATTTCACATGCATATCCAACACGCGTTATAAGGAATAAAGAGACAGACTGATCGTGAGTGTAAGACTCGTTTAACTTATAAAATAATGTTAATTCATTGCAAGAATAGATATATTTTAAATGCATTTCTCGCGCATGGTATCATAATAAACGTTACTACTTGGGCGCTTAAAAGCATAACTCATGTCTGAGAGAATGAAGTTGCAAGTACTTACGTTAAATGCATATTTCTTGAACGGGCCACACAGAGGGAATGCATAAATCTTCGTGGCTTGGCGCAATTTCATTTGTATAACAGTTGGATTCCGGTATAGAGACGGACTTTATAAAATGCGTGATATATGATATATTTCAAGGAAAAAAATAAGTTCTTGACCCTGAACAATGTTGACTTTAAGTTAATCTTATTTTGGTGTAATGTCAAAATGATATATATATAATATTATGCGAACTTTTTTATACATATTTTTGAAATTAATATCTCCGTCTTTATGTCTTATAGATATTTCTCTCTCATTTTTCAGCCATCCGTTTTAGTTTTGTTTCAACCGCATAATTGAATCGGCGGATCCTACTGCATATATTTGCAATATGTTTTCTTTTGTTTATTCTCTTGATTGCATTTTTTCAATTGAAAAATATTTTGCTTTTATTTTATAAGTTTTATATTTAATTACTCAATATTTATTTTTATAGTAAGAATAAGTTTTATTTGATATTGAAAATAGAATTAAATCTTTGTCATTGTACTTTCGTAATTCAACAATTTATCTTATTATTATACAGACGTATATATATTTTGTTTTATTATTAAAACTATACGATATAATTTAAAAATTTCATAATTTTTATATTTTTATATAATTTACCAGTACAAAGCGTGCGCTTCGCGCGCGTCATTTATTTTTTAATATTATATATTTTTATATAAAATATTTGCATCGCATACTATACAACCTCGTCAATCTCATATAATTGTTAAATCTCATATAATTATTAATATTAATTAATGTTATTTTGAATTTTCATTTCCAAAATTTAACATTTATTTCTGTTCCTAACATTTTCTCCATTATGCGCAAAGCCTAACGGAAAGATATATACCTTGTATTTAATTTTGTTATAGATGTTGAAATCTTTATGTTTGAGATAACGATACACTGGCACTTGGTACTTTGTTTACAATCCACGGGTATTGTGTATTGCGAGAATACTAGAAATTTGAGCAAAATTCAAATCTTTGTATGTGAATATGATATGGTAAGGCATACCATACGTAAATTTTCAAACGAATGAAATGGCATGTCACGCATGAGCAAGTCAGAAATTAAAATTAAGCCGGGGAATTACGATTGCGTCGAGTCGAGACAAGTAGCGTTATGAAATATTCTCATTCTTCGCTAGAAAGTTTCCCTCGAGTCTAACAAAGAAATATTTAATAGGAGCGTGGGTGTTTCGCGTAACATACGACTGAAAACTTTAGTACTTTGCTAGTAGATTTACTATCCCGTCGCGACGTGCATCGAGCCGCCGATGTTCCGCTATTAAATAATCTTGTAAACTCTATTAACTCAGTTATGAAGTACGACAGTGACGGAAGTAATTGCTAGTCGAAGATTCGAAGCGAATAACTGTAACTTTCGACTTAACTGTAACTTTCTTTCATTTACGCGATAATTTTAAACGTCAGCACTATTCGAACGAAAAAATTTCAAAATATTTTTACGAACATGTTTTGCTAAAGATGGGAATTTTTTTTTTAATTTTATGTAATACATTGCAGAATAATTTTATTTATTTCCATTGTGCTTCTTTTCCATTTTTTCCCAAAAATTTAATAAAATTTACTCTAGAGTCTAAATGCAAAAAAATATAAATTTAACTGTAAATGTATGTAAATTTATTTTGAAATTAGACTGAAATCTAATAAAATTTATTTAATAATGTTTTAAAAATATAACTTTTATATCAATTACGGGAGGCAGTGATGAGAAAAAGAACGCGATAAGAATTGGCGGATTCTGACAATATTATTTATACCAAATCGAAAGAAGTCGAAACCGATTTACTAAGAAATAAGAGAAGCAATTTATAATCCGACAAAAAATGGGAAAAAATTCGAAATATTAAACAAAGAACAACGGAATGAAATTGACACGCGACTATTTATTTTGATATATGTCATTTCATAACGGGAGAGAGAAAAAGATAGACAACTTTTTCGCTGTGTGTGTGTGTGTGTGTGTGTGTGTGTGTGTGTGTGTGTGTGTGTGTGTGTGTGTGTGTGTATATGTTACATGAACGTAATCCATAATTCTCGGCAACCTTTAACTGATATCAGAAAAACTATGTCCTATCCATCATCTTTCTCAAGAAATTGATGACTAGATGAGGGAGGTTGTGTAGATCCCAGACATCGCATTATGCATCCCGATATGCAAAGTGCGTCAAGAGAATAATAAATACGAAATTTCAGGTACGCGCAAAGCCTTCTTACTCATACTTTATTCATTCATGTATCGCGAAATATTCTGATGTCTTTTGAATATACGAGAAGTAGTTTTAGTAACGTCTCTAATTTCACTCGAGATCCACAGAAGATTGCAAAAAAAATATTGAATATATTGAAAAGAATATCTAATTGCATTTTTATTACATACGTATAAATATTTATCGATTAAATATTCCGACGAAATTTTTCTGTTTTAGATTTTTAGATCTTTAGATCTTTAGATTAGATTTTTATCATCTTGGTAAGATAGAATTTTTTATTAACCAATCGAAATATAATATTCAAATTCAGTATATTTTAAATCCTTTCAAATCATGCTAATGTACTTGAGAAGTATCGAAAGCTTTGTATTGAGATTTTATATTCATCTTTTTCTTCGGTATAGTTATCATTATGAAGCTGACGATTTCAATTCGATTTCGATTTCCTTCGTTTTGCCAATATGACATTTTGCGAATCGTAAATAGTATCTGTGTTTGTGCAAATTAGATCAGTGATAATAGCGTCATGTTTACTTTGTTTCTCTATTTACAATTTAAAGTTACCTTCTTAAGAATTAAATATATTATTTCAAAAAGTGATTTAAATAGATTTAAAGAGATTTAATGCTAAAACAGTGCGCAATATTGTTCAATTTCGTCGTATATAAGTATGACTGTTAAGCTAAAATAAACATTTTATTTAAACGATGTTTTACTTTTTATTCTAATTGTGTAATGTATTTTTATTTTTATTGTATATTACATTTTGTTACGCATAATTACTTATTGATATAAATATGAATGAAATCATGTTATAATATGAAAAACAATTATGTTACGTATCTGTATTATTTATTACTATTATTTATTACTTAGAATCAGTAAAATATTTTTTATGACTGCAGTATATTATAGTAGTAAATATAAGTAATATTCTCATAATGTTGTTGTTAAAGAAGCTACATCAGTTTTCTTATATATGTAATATAAGTTTAATTATATGTACATATATAAACTTTATAAGCATAGAAAGACCGGTAGCTGCACTTCCAACACTTCTCCACGAAGACCGAAACAATGACTGTTAAGTGCTCGAGCGAATGAGGTAGGGTGCGTTAAGGAGTTCTTGAACAACGCGCATAAACGCAGAATGGTCGGAGCGTTCTATCTGGTCCGCCAGTACAGTTGGTGGAAAGCTTGGTCGAGAATTCGTAAAACAACCGTAATCCCGGATCTGCCCGCAACGTTAAGCGCCGGATGCGAGGAAAGCGCGTGAAAGTGCTTCTTTGTCGTTGTGAATGTGTTGTCGGTCGGTGTTGTGATCCTGGTATCCCAAAATTGTAATAAGATAGCTAACTGCAGGCCTGTATCCAGGAAGTACGTCGCATACTTTCATCGCGAGACGTGAGTTAAGAGTACAAGTTCGCGAAATTGCGATAGCTTTCAAGTTGGAGCGTCTGATCATTTACGTACGCATTAGCAAGTGCAGTCGTTAAAAGTCGTTTTGTCGCGATTCCCCCTCACATCTGTTTATTTAATTAAAAGTAATTGTTTCAATGCTCAACCTTGGCTCGAATAATATCAGTGGAAAATGAAATACTTCTTTTGATAATTGAAATAACTATTTTTATTTATGTCATCTTTTCTTGTGGTTTTGCGTTATTTTAATTATCCAATTTTTTTTTTTTTTTTTTTTTTTAATTGATTAGAAGGAAAATACTAAACTTAGATTCTTGTTGATGGCAATTTTATTATTTTTAAAAGTTTTGGAATAAATGGTATATAGATCCTTAGCGATGTTCACGGATAACTGCACTGAATCTCGTCAATTTTCAGTAGAAAAGAAGAAGGATTTGCCAGATCTGAGATGTAATTTCAACTTTCTAACTAACAAACTAAGGACAAGATAATAAGGAGAGTTATAAATCGTGGATTTACCATGAGTAGGGCATTCTGGTGCTTTATAAGTCTAACTTTTCTTACGTTGTTCTCATAAATCTACTACTAAAATCATAATTTATTAAATAATTAATTACATTACATTAATTAAATTACATTACATAATGTAATTACATTACATTATTCCATAAATAATTATGATGCTTTGCAAGAGCGAGCGAACAACACGTGGCATTAAATTATGACTTTTAAAGACAAAAGGGCATAACATAAAACTAATAATAAACGATAAAAAATATTGCCAAATTAAATGCTTTAAGCTAAGATAATAAAAAATTAATACAATATTTTTGTATTAATATTTATACAATGACAACAATAGATAAATAAAAGTAGATTTCGCTCAAGAATGCGATTTCGAAAATATTTTTAAAAGAAAAATATTTTTAAAAGAAATGGAAAAAAGTGTGCACAATGTTACATAAATTCTTCGAAACGATTGTGGCTTATAAGGATGTAAACTATAAGAACCGTGTTGTATTTGCGTACGATGTGAGACAAGTATTTGTATAGACGATAGACAGAAACAATACATACTTTTGCATAAGTCATTTTCAATGTTTATTAAATCGTTTTTTAAACAGAAGGAAGCGACTCGTGCTTTCTTCGTGCAAATACATGCTTATGTCATAAATATTAAAACATTTTTATAATCACATGATGACAAAATTTTATTGTGTTGTATAAGTAAAAACTCACTCGTGAATCGATATAAACATTTTTTTAAAGATAACATGACAATATTATATATTGCAACATGTGCATTGGACATTAGCTCCGAAGCCGAAGTGATTTTAATTAGTTTCCGGTTTCTCTTTTAAAATAAGATCACGTTAATAGAATAATATTCATAATAGCCGTTGGCATTATAAGCGATATCGAACGAGGGAAATATCCTATCGTCGATGAAAGGCGTTACTACCGGTTCTTGCTGGCGCATATAAAGCGTAGAAAATGAGGGAAGAAAGATGGGATAAAGGAAGCCGAATAGTAGCGGAGGAAAGGATTATAGAGAAGAGCGGAGAGGTGTAAATTGAAATTGAAATCAAAGTAATAGAGTTTTCTGTCGACGCGCGCGCGCGCGATGTGTGTGTGTGTGTGTGTGTGTGTGTGTGTGTGTGTGTGGTGTGTGTGTGTGTGAGTAATATGTGTGTATACAATCATAATCGTTAACATCGCGGAGATTAAAATGCCATAAGATGCGCCGATTCGATTCGGCGAAGGGTTATAGCTAGTTAAAGAATCCCCTTGTTTAATTTTGACTTCCCACTTCTTTTTAAATTAGACGATCATAAAGGCGGCACGCAAAGTAAGCGCACGATATAAAATCCTGATTAGAAACTCATTTCCTGAGCTATTTTTATTCTTCGTATCATATAAAACTCCTTTATTCTTAAACGCCAGTTTATGGCCATGATATCATACGATATATAAAGTGTTTCAGAATCAGTGAATGATTTTTTTTAGTTTTGATTAGATGATCGAGAAGTTTTCTTTCTTTGAAAATATCAAAATGAAAATATCAAAATTTGTTACTATTTGTTTTTAATTATAATTTAAATTTAGAATTCTATGAAAGTATACAGTTTATTAATGTAACGTTCTCGCATATATTTTTTTAAACTTAATTTGACAACAATCCTCTATTTTTAATTGTTAGTCAAAGATTATAAATATTTTAATATCTTCAAAATAAATTTATTTGGAAACATTAAAGTAATATATAATGAAAAA